AACTAAAGTTCATACACCACCATCTTATCTCGAACTCAACTAATTCATCGGGTCTTGAACCACACAACACTCTCAACACACCAGTGAACTCAGTCGGACATGTCTGAAGTGCAAGGCACCAAACTGTTTATCACATGTTGATTGTCACGTGGGATTTGGGCTTAACACAACCTCTATACACATGATATTAATGTACTCACAAGGAGAGAGATTGAGTATCTTGAAGCAGAAGGGTATTTTGACAGACTGAAAGAAGAAAAAGAGCAGAACCACTGGCAGTGAAAAGCTGATGATATCTATTACAACAGGCAGTACAGACAACAATAGTGAGAAGAACAAGCAGTCAAGTGAGGTTCTGCCCCATCTGAGCACTACAGACTATACACAGAAAGCAAAGATGATGGGCTCTGCTCTTGGAGCCTAGACAATGAGGATGACCCCTGGTTTGGATCAGCCAAGGTCATTAGCATAGATGAAGCCTGATGAATTGATGAACTCTCCCTCTTCCAGTTATGACAAAAGTGTCAACAGTGACATCAGTACTCTTCTCTCTGATGCCAATTCAGTCCTCAGAGAATATAGTATCTGAGTATCTCTAGGAGCTAGAATCTCTGACTGAGCTCTCTGAAGATTCCTATGTAGATGCATTGTCACTCTCTTCCTCAATAAGCAGTTTTATGAGGACTTCTGCTGATATAGCCAGAGAATAGAGGGACAGAGAACACATGAGGCAGATGAAAGGGCCAGACCTTTCTGATCTCACCAGCAGCCTCCTTCTAGAACTACTAACACAGAAACTGGACTCTGAGCTGATCAAAAGCTCTCCAGCAACAGTCAGAGCTCCCAAGCCATCTATCTATGATCTGCCTACTGATTTTCTCAAGAAGAGTGAGAGAAATGATGAGAATAAGAGAGATAATGAGGATGAGGAGGATGTTCCAGCCAAAATTGACCCCTGAGTACAGTATAGAGACACTGATGAAAAGGCACTTGAAGAAGAAATACACAGAAACTGAAAGAAAATTTTTGAAGGGTTATATCAAGAAGGAATGATGAAGTTGTAGCAGGATATTAGTTAGCTAATGATCTCTCTAGGAAGAAAGTATTCAGTTGTGAGCAATGACAAAAAAAGACATATCTTATAGTATGCTGCCACTGACTAAGCTATTTATATCTACAATAGGATACCTCCTAAGAACTGGCTCAAGGCATTGCTGGCCTATGAATATAAGATTCAACCTATGCTGAAGACTCCATCTATTCTCTCTATATACACTGTCTATATAGCTCCATCAATCTAAACCTCTAGCATCACATACTCTCATTCTATACTCTCAGGCCAAGAAGCTGCTCAATAATCCACATACCTAAAATCTCATAAGCTGCTACAACCAGTCAACTTTTGAAACCCATGGACAAGCCAAGAAAGTCAGCTTCTTAGAGCACAGCCACTCTCAGATGAGGCTATAGAAACTGGAGATGACTCTGAGACAACCTGCCTTGAGTTTATGATCTAAAATAGACATATTGTATGATGCACCAATATCTAACCAGCTGAAAGCTCTGTCACTAAAGATGGCTCTCTACACTCTCTTCTGAGGCTACCAACTAAATAGTGATAGCCTCTCTTCAATAAATACTCCAATCTAATGAGTGTGCTGCCCTAAAATGCTATCATACTTCAGTGCAAGCCTGATCTTCTCTAAACCCTCCAACCATTCAAAGAGACATCAGACAATATTGATCACTTCCTAATTGATTGCAAACAATACTTCAAGATATATACTGTCTATCTTAAAGCCAACATGAACAAGATCACCTTTGCAGTCTCATACTTCAAAAGCAATACCAAAAGATGATGGATACTCATATCTTTGACATTCTACTCCTCTACTTGTCAGCACTATCAATTCCTGTCCTGGCCCATCTTCAAACAGATGGTTAGAGACAAGTTTATTGACCCTATAGTCTAGAAAGTTCACAAGAAAAAGATGAAGGAGTTGCACATAGGCAATAAGATTGCCAGTGAATATTTTGACAAACTGAAATGCCTTGGAACATTGGCCAGAGTATGAGAGAGCACAGATAACAACAGACAGATAGTCAAGTACTTAAAGATGAGAGTGTCTCTGTCCTATATCAAGATGATTTCTGATATTGGCACTAATATACCAAAAGATTATGATGTGTGGAAGGCTAGAATCACAGAAATGAACAAGGAAAGGCTGTGACAGAAGGTGGCTAGTATAAGAATGACAATCAACAAGAAGCCAAACCCACTGGCAAACAGAAAGCCTAACAGTGGAATCATCTCCACTAAAGCTGATACTGCTTTGACCACATTATACACAGCAATAAATACCAGAACAAGAACCATATATACTGGCAGTGGCAAGCCAATAGACATCAATCAACTCAAGAAAGACAAATGCTTTAACTGCAGACAGAAGAGACACCTGTTGTAAGACTGCTCAAAAAAGAAGTGGACTCAGAAGGATATATGAATGCAGATTGCCAAACTACAGAAAGAAGCAGATGGACTCAAAGACCTTGAAAAGGAAACCAAGGTCAAGGAAGTAAAAGATGAGGCTGACTAGTGAGCAATTCTGCTAGTTCAGCTAAAAGACTTATTGGTGTGTCATATGAAGCCACAGGATAGACTCATATGCCTTCTGTAGATAAGATTATTTATGAGCATTCAAATATACCTATTATTACCTTCATCACCAACACATCCAAAGAATTGCCCATCAAAAGTAAAAAGAAACTCAATCACCCATAGGCTGAACAGAGGGAGACCTCATCCAACTGGCTAAAGCCATTTGACACTGAATAGACTTGGTGAACTATAAAAGATGTACAAAATCTGAAAGAAGCTATTGCTATACTCAGAAACTGAATACATCAAACTAGAATTGATAAGGTTGTTATGATTTTTCACTATTTTTTTTTCTTTTACCTCTATTCATGCTTAGTCAGAGCACTTAGGATAGCATTTAAGACCATAGGACAGCTTAGTCAGCACATCAACATTGTCTTATGACATGTAGTGATGCTCTAACAATGAGACAATCTCTTTTTTGTAGGTAATCACAACACCTCAGGACAATGAGTACTATAGCACAGACACTTACAATTAATAATATTATATTTATCCAGAAGACAAACAGTATATAAGTAGTATAGCCAATGTCATGTATCTCTGATCTTGAACTATCTTTTATTCCACTATTTCTATTCAAGTCAACTTATATTGACCTTGAGATATAATATCTCTAAACACACTAAAGTGGATTCAAGCATGATTGTACAAACATAATATAGCACTAGTCTATCATGTGTTATTGATCATATATCACTTGAGCCTAACAATTAGTTCAAGACTTCTATTTTCCTTTCCTTATATCCACTGAGAGTGAAGAAAACCAAATGCCATCAATCAACATCACAACTACTGATCTCACAGATGACTTCTTTAAACTATTAGCTTTCATTATTGGAACACTTCTAGGTTTACTCACTATCATCCAACTCTACCATGGATATCAATCAGTTACAGCTTGGATAGTCAGGCATTACCATTTATTCAGACAGATCTAATAGATACTATAAAATGTCACCTCTGACCTTCTCCTCTATAATATCCCTCCCTCTACCAGAGCCTCCTTCCAGCCTATGTTCAGAACTGTATCTGAGGCTGGGCATAGTTGTCTAAATGAAAGGTGTGCTAAGAAAGAAGAACCTGGACAACCAGTCAGACTCTCTTGAACAACTAGCAGATACAATGAGTATCAAAACACAGAGTTTAGAAACCTCTGGATCCTGCCATACATCTCTGACTACAAAGATAAAGATCTCTCTGACAACTTTTTTGAGGAGTTACTATCCTCCAACTCTTCTACTGCTCCTCATGAATCTGGCATTGAAGACTGTGTTAGAGACTCTATTGATGAGGTTGCAAGACTTGCAGACAGAGGGTCTAAGTATGTCACTCTCTGTGAAAGTTTCAACCTCTCAACCCCCAGCTCTCTCTCCTCAACCTCTAGCCACTTCAGAGAAAGTGGCTGGCAGTATTCTGTATGATTGAAAGTTGAGCAGATAGAGTAAGAAGGAAACTTCAAGCAGCTTGAAGAAGAAGAGCTTGATCAACAGCAGAAAGCTGATGAAGCCTACTACAATACACAGTATAGACAATGAGCAAGAGAAGAACAAGCAGTGGAGTAGAGCTCAGCCTTGCCCAAACATTACAGATTATATTCAGAGAAGGATGGAGATTTATTCTCTGGAATCCCTGCTGAGAGAGTCTAATAAATTGGGGTTGCTGAACTCTCACCCTCTAGCCCCACCAACAGCAATAACAGTAAACTCTGCAAGTGGAGACCAGATGTTGAAGATGACCCCTGGTCAGGACCAACCACTGTCCTCACTGCAGACAAGGTCTGACAGATCAATGACAACTATGAACCCCCTCTCCCTACCTATGAAAAAAGCATCAGTGACAGCTCTCTTCTCTCTGACATCAGTTCAATCCTCAGAGGCTATAGAATCTGAGTATCTCCAGGAGCTAGAATCTCTGACAGGACTCTCTGATGATTCTTATATAGATGTATTGCCACTCTCTTCCTCAACAAGCAGTTCTATGGTGACTTCTGCTGATATAGCCAGAGAATGGAGAGAGAGAGAGCACATGGAACAAATCAAGAGGCCAGGCCTTTCTGATCCCATCAGCAGCCTCCTACTAGGACTCCCAGCACAGACACTTGAACTAACAGAGAGCTTCCCAGAGACTGTTAGAGCTTCCAAGCTGTCTATCTATGACCAGCTCACTGACTCCCTTGAGGAGAGTGAGGGGGATGATGAAGAGAAGGACAAAGAGGAGGATGATATGCCAGCTGAGATTGATCTCTGAATATAGTATAGAGATACCAATGAAGAAGATCTCAAAATGGAGATTTGGTAGGGTAGAGAGGAGGAATTCAAAAGACTGTACTATAAAGAGACAGCAACCTTATGAATGGGCCATCAGTATTCTCGCAGCACCAATTCTTTCATTTTAGTAATGCTAGAGTGGCTAGCAGTTGTGTGATCATAGCAGGTGGTGATGATTTCACCATGTAGTCCTTGGTCTTAGGGAATATAGATTTGTCCATCATAGCAAATTAACCCTCCTTCTTTCACCATTCCTTTCTCATGATTGAGAGATAGGGCCACTCACTGATCCCATTTGTGATTGTCTCAAGTTGTGCTTTTGATCCACTCATGGATTTCCTCTTCTATTGGCATTATCATAGCCCTAAAGTGTTCAGGCTATAGTAGTGTCACTCCTTCATTATCAGCTCCTCTCTGATCATGATCTGTCTGCTGACTAAGGAGATCAGCCTTCTTGTTCATCATGCCTGCTTTGTAGTGGAGCATGTATTGGTATTGGCTGAGCTTGGTGACTCATCTGGCTTGTCAGTGGTTCAGTTTCTGAGGTTGTCAGAAATATCAGAGATTCTGGTGGTCTGTCCAGATCTCAAAGATCTTTGTGGCTCCAATAAGATAGTGCCACCACTCTTTCAGGATGAGCATGATAGCAAGAAGTTCCTTGTTATAGATCTCATAGTTTCACTCAGTGATTGTGAGTGCCTTGGACAGAAATGTGACAGGATGCCACTTTCCATTCTGTTTCTGAGACAACACTGCTCCAATTGCCCCTTCATTTGAGTCAGCTTTGACCCAAAACTTCTCTTCCTGCATTGGAATGGCAAGGATTATGTCCTCAGCAAGTTGTCATTTGAGATCATTAAAGGTGACCTGCTGAAAAGGATCCTAGATCCAGGGGGCATTGCCAGTTAATTATGTCATTGGCTGGACAATTTTGCTGTAGTCCTGAATGAAGTGTTGGTAGAAGTTGGTGAACTCAAGGAATGATTGTAGCTCCTTTTTCTTGGCTGGTTCTGGTCACTCCATTACTCCTGCTACTTTGATGGGGTCCATCCAAATGCTCCCTTCACTGATGATGACTCTGAGGTACTCAGTTTCTAGTACCTCAAACTCACATTTCTCTGATAGTCCTGGACTGGCCAAAGCTTGCCATCTTTCTTCTTAATGAAGAAGAATGGTGATACCATGGGGGACTTTGATGGCTGGATTTGCCTGCTGGACAAATTCTCATCCAAGAACTTATCAAGTTCCTGTTGTTTATTATTGCTAAGAGGATAGGTTTTGCAGTCCAAGTTGGCATTGGCATTTGGGATTAGCTCAATTGCATGATCCCATAGCTTTAGCTCTGGTAGCTCATCAAAGCTCTCCTTTTTGAATAAGTTCTTGAAGTCATGTGCCCATTCAGGCACTATTTCTTTGAAGGTTTTCTCCTCTTTATGCTTGTTAGCCTTAGCAGCCAAGTTATTGGCATAGTGAATGGCATAGTGGAGAGAATCTGAGTGTATGCAAGATGAAAATGGATACAGCAGAACATTATCCACTGACCACACTCACACCAACACACACACAAAACTCTTAGTTCATGGGGGGATTATAATGTGATAAAAGTAGCAATCCACAAATATAATTGTCTTCTTTAATGAGATCACAGCATGCAAACAGTAATAGTGCACTTACAACAGTCCAAGATCTCTCTAAGTCTCAAAGCTTTTCATTTTATCAAAACAAGAGGTGGCAACTAGTGTTGCCAGGCCTCAAGGCAAAGGGTACTGCAGTTCAATACAATATGTTGAAACACTCCTTCAAAACTCTCAAATGGTCCCAAGCATAAGTGCACACTAATTAAGCTAAAGGGTTTGAACCTCTGCCACCTGTAGTGCTGCATGTCATGAATACCTCAAAAACTCAAGATGATGTCCTTCAGACACCACTCTCTTATTCTCAGATTAGAGCACAATCCAAAACCTCTTATCAAACTGGGCTTAAGTCCTTCATGAGCTTCAATGCCTCACTTAGTTCTTACAGCTCTCTCAAGAATATTCAATAATAAGTTTATTCTCTCACCTGAAGTTACTAACACAAACCCAGAGCTAGAGTGCAAGGCTTTCTGTGCCCAATACACTGCAACTATAGGGGTCAGAAACTTGCATTTCTACTTATACAATGTGGTATTTAAATACTCTACTATAGTACTTACTAATACAATCTTACTATAGTATCTTCAAAGCATGGAACTCTGTGCTGGATCTCACAGATACTATTCATGTGTGTATCACAGTTGCTATGCTTATTTGTTTCCAGGCCAGGACTATGCAAGGTTTCCTTGTTTAGCTGATTTTGGCTAGCTGACCTAGCCCAGTCTGCTTGCTTTTTTCTTGCCTCAGTGATATATCTCTGATAGCAGTAAACTGTTCTGGACCCTCAGAGTTATCTCTCATGTCTGGAGTCAGCTACAATAGTTATGTTCTCTTCTCTAATGTCTCAACATTCTCTCTGGCTCATAAATTGCACTGCTTCTAGCCTAACATGCATTAATTAACTTACCTAATATGGTAAGTATCATACTGCAGTACAATGTAGAGTTCCTCACTGTGTTAAGCATGCTAAGGCATGGTAAGTATGCATACAAGTCTCTGAGCAGTACATATACTATTCATCTCTGAGAGTAGTATTTCTCTATTTATTTCTTTGTTGTCATCATGTCATTTCTCTGTTCAGCACCCTGTTATTCAGATACCTTTCTTTGAGTCTCAGTTCCCTGTTCTAAAGCATGTTCCATCAGTGCATCATTGATCAATGTGATCAGGATTGCTGATCATATTTCAATTGTAGTCTTTTTATTTTTAGCATATCCTCTTGTAATAGTATTGGCACATTTAGGGCCAAGTGCTAGGACCTCACATGCAGCCTAACCCCTCTGGTATTGGTCTATTACTAGGTCATGCACTCTGCTTATTGTTACTTCAGTTTAGCATTATGATAGCTAGGTTTCTGTGTGCTCTAGTCCTATTTTCTGTTATATGCTTATTGGACTGGAATACAGTCTATGTATTTGCAATTTTTGCAATTTTACATGCCTGAATATGGAGAGGGTGTGTCAACAGATGTGTAGTTCCCACTGAAGATCAATGACAAGAATGGTCTCCCCATCCTCTATTTCCTCATCTCACTGATCTTTTGGATCTTCATCAAGTAATTCAAATGGGATTTTCTGACACCAGCATCTTGTGAATGTGATCTGTCTGGTTTTTCAGTTGATTAGTGGGTTACAGCATATTAGCCAGTTGTGACCAAAAAAGACTTCTTTAGTCCTGAGATCTGTGACAGCTAAGTTGATTTGTTCAGAATGATCTCTGATTATGAGTCTGAGTTCTATGAATTCAGTGATTGAGCCAGCCTGATTTTTAGTTCCATCAGCATTAAAGACAGAAATTGATGCTGCCATAGCTCAAGTTGAAAGCTTGTGCTTGTCAATGAAAGCATGATTAATAGAGCTTCCAGTGCATCCACTGTTGATCAGGGCAGTTATAGCATGGACTGATCGAGATGTGAGGGTCTCAATCTGGGCTTTAGTGATTAAGTCTCATTTCTGGGTTTTAGACCGGCAAATGAATTTATGCAGTCCACATAGTTCATTGAGCCATTCTAAGGCTCAATGTCATTTGGCCTTCTTCATTCCTTCTACCATCTCATTGATCACCTCTTCTTCCTGAGTCTGGTGGACTCAGTTTCTGAGTATGGCTTTTGCCATTGCTTTGTCCTTGACATCTTTGATTGCTCTACAAGTCCATTCCATATTGAATAGCTTGAGCCAAGTATTGGGGCCCTCTGTCCCAGTTTGGCCTGAAGACATTTGAGTTTTCTGTGGAGTGTCAACTTGATGGGCTTTGGAGGATGACACATCTCTAGGACTCTCTGTCTTTTTTTGGCCTTGTGCAAGCATTTGAGTTTTTTCATTAGGTGATTCTTTGGTGTGCAGAGTGAGAGTTGTTGTGGGATGACACAAGTACCTGATGTCAACCTTATATAAGCATAGACAGTTTTGTCCTGAGTCGATGGTCAATTGCCTTTAAGCAATTGACCGTCGTACTCAGGTAAGTAGTAGTCATATGTACCTCTGCCTTTAAGCAATTGACCATCATACTCAGTCTGGCCTATTATCTACTGTGTAAAAGTAACCTGCCTGCAACAGGTTATGGGCCCTACGCTTTAAGGCCTATTTCGAGTTTTTTTTCCTTCGCATCTTGCCTGTGCCCTGCTATCTCTCCATCAGTCATTTCACTACTGAAACGATATTACCACATACATCATGCCATCCTTCGACACAATCAAAAAAGGCTTTGAAAATCTAAATGCCTTCAACTATGGCGAGTGGGAAGAAAACATGTCGGCCTTACTCAAAACTCGCCGCGAGTACCTTATCACCATTGGCTGTGACCCTGAACCGGAGTTTGCAGACCCTGAGAAGCCAATATACCAGGAGAGGAAGGACTGGAAGGACTGGAAGGAAACTCAGGTATCGGCTGCTGGCACAATCTACCTCTGCCTTGATGAATCCCAGAAGGCTCATGTCAAGAGCTGTCTTGA